GTATAAGAATACGTATTATTACGGATGATACGTTGGGGCTTAAAATCCTTAAAAATCGTACAATACAATCATGATGTGATATCATTATAATGAATATTGGATTTTAATACGGCTTAAAAAAGTTTTTGATGATGTATGATTGACATTTTATTGTGGGCTTATTCTATCATTATCTTTTTTATTATGTTTCAAAACAAATTCTTTTCAAAGAACGAAATTATTTAGTGTTTTTTTATCTCACTGCTCACTGCGTCAAGATTGTGTCACTTTAGGTAGGTACCCACGGAATTTGTTCCATGAAGTTTTCTCATTTTAGTTTCCTTATTAAATAAAAAGTCATTTAAATTTCTAAAATGGGGTTATATTATAAATATTGTTGCACCTTTAACCGAATATCTCAAATACCCAGAAGTTACGATCCCGGAGGTTTTGTTTTTAAAGCCACATACATAGTGGCTATAATCGGGTAAGAGGTTTTTTTTTTAATGATAAACATTAAATAATTATTATTTCATATAAAATGAGGAAAAAAGAACTGAATAAAACATATATATATTAGCATATAGTTATAAAAAAAAAAAAAAAAAAAAATACAAAAAACTCTTTACTTTTTACTAATATAATTTACGTTATTGTAAATAAATATCATTAATAATCCTTCTCATTAATACACACTATAAATTTTTTAAAAAAAAGCGAAAAAAAAAAAATTAAATATTATAAATCATTACCAGAATCAAATATTAACAACAGACTTACTCTCTTTCCTTAGATTTACGTTTTTCGTAGCTAAACAATATATTGACAAAATCTATATAAAATCCCTCTTGAAATCAAACTTTTTATAATCAATCCTGAAAATAAAAATGACCCAACATACTCCATCAAATAACCGAAGTACCAATACCACAAATAACAACGTATCATACTCACAGAAAATAAGAGGAACACACACACGTGTTTCTAGAGTTAGAGTAACAACTGTTGGAAAAGCTCCTTTTCCTGAAAAGCAGCATCGAAGTTGTCCCAGATGTAAAGATTCTACCAATAGCATGAAAATTTTGAATGCTCGCGTAGGAAGAATAGAGCAATTGGTTGACGGTTTGGCAAAAACTACTCGTGGTTTAGCATCAATGTCGAAGGTAAATACGAACACAGAATCAAAAGGATAATTTGATGAATTCTTTTTTTTTGAAAAAATTTTTTTAATAATATTTTGGAATGTTAATAGAGAAATGATCGATTCGCACAAAATGCTTTGAAATTTAGAGGAATAGATCTGACACGTTGTACTCTTCAAGAATTACAAAAATTAGTTGTTGCGACAACAAATGTCATGGTCCCTTCAAACAACATCAATCCTACCATTAAACCTACATCAAATCCCAATAACATGAAACTCACAAATACCAAAGATACCACATGTTCCGAAGATGATACCGCAGATACCATAGATACAAAGAAATCTATCCCTGCCAAAGATAAAGATAACACTCTTTCTGAAATAACTAACAGTGAAAAGAAGATTTATCATTCTGAACCTGTTGATATGGAAGATGTAAAAATAATTCCAAGTTATCAAAACGCTGAAACACCCAAGATCTCTAGTCCTATTAAAACTGTGATGGGTTCTTTGAAAATAATTTCACGTCATGATTCAGGTTATGCCGGTTCTTAAAAGAGGCTGATGGTTTAGATAACATGAAAAATCGCTTCATTTATTGATTGTTTGATGCCTCTTTTGATGTATGTATTTCTCAAGGAACACTGTTCTTTCACAAACACAATTTTTCTTATTAAATACCTTAATTTTATAATTTTTGTCTGTTTCATATTTGTTTTTTCTTTGTACATTTGTTGTTTTATTATTAAATAAAGACAGATCCAAATAATCAAAAAAAAAAAAAA